GCGCGTGCGTGTGTGTGCGTGTGTGTGTGTGGAGATCTCTAACCTATTTAATCTTTATTATGTGATCTAACTAATCTTGTTTAGTGTATAAATTCAATAAATATGATATTGGAAAGATTATGAAATTAACGTGCAAATATCAGTATGTAATGCTCAAACATTCTCCCTTTTTTAATTAAACTTCACTGATTATATAGTGCCAAGTATACCACTGAATAATTAGTGACTATCTACTGATTCAGATTTAGAAAGTATATATCCCTTGTACATATCTCCATGTTATATATATTATCTAGCAAAAAAATGAATTTACATTGACAAAGTTCTAAGGCTCCACGGAAAACATCATTCTTTCGAATTACGATACTTCCATATTTTTTATATTGTAAATGCAAAATTTTTACGTTAATTACCTTTTGTTTAACATTAAATTGTATTTATTTTTTAAATGTAATTTTATATATAAGTGTTTTAATTTATATTAACCTTATCAATAAAAAAATTAATATTGAATTGAATACTTTATTGTTCCACTCGGGATTGCAATTATATATAATATTAACAATATTGATTCATACATCTATACGTAACAATCCAATCTTGTACAACTTATTAACAATAAGAAAAAAATATTTTTTTATATAGTTATAAATTGAAATAATTGTTTTGAATAATGCTGGAAATAAGAATATTAATCCTAAAGAGACTTGTAAAAATGTAATCTCTTACAGTTAATGCAATTTTTTTCAAGTATAATATATTCATAGCACATAATTTCGAGAAACATTCTAAAGATACTCAAAGAATTTCCCTATGTTTTAAAAATATTCTAAGACGTTCCTTAATGGATATAAAGTGTGCTGTGTGAATCATTTAATTTAATTTACTTTTTATTACGCCTTATATAAGCGAAAATGCAAATAAAACATAAACAATTTATCACAGAGCCGAAGATCCTTACAGAATTTGCATTATATACACACAAACTCAATATATTAATAATATTGTACATTCAAAAATAATTTACTGTTTGTCTGCATAATCGAGTATTATATGATGAATTAAAACGTGTAATATTACACGTATGCATTAATTTTATTTCATATCGATTTTGCTATGTGATTAATATTAATACCTTGTTAAAATCTTTTGTCAAGAATAATCTTATAATTTATAAATGTAAAAAGATAATAATCACGATTATGATCTAGATCGCGAGGAATATATTGATATATGGAAAGACTGATTTTTAAAATCATTAAAGTTATTGTCTAAAAATTTAATTAAATACAGTTCCGAAAATAACCTTGTTAAATAATCAAAATATTGTAATTATGCAGATTGCTCAATTTAGTTGCTAGAATGTCAAACTTTTTTGCATTATTCAGTATTCGAATTTTTTATAATTTTGATGATTGACCAACAAAATTATTTTCAGATCTGTATCCAATTAAACTTTTAGGTATTTCAATAAATTATTCGATTACAAACTAACAATTTTCTAATATAGATCTAACTGAACTATTTTATAGATAAAGAATTGCGTAACTATGCGATGATAACAACAATTTGCACGCAACGCACGTAAAATTATGTTAATACTTACTGTGCTACTCTTCGCGTACTTTTGTTGTTATGAAATCCTTTCGGAGAAACAAACGCGTGCAGAAGTTTCACTGTAAAGACGGGACTAAATTTACGAGTGTGACCATGTACCTCGATGTATTCGAAAAGAAAAGAAAGAGAAGAAAGGTTATATCGATAAAAGGATTATATCGAGGCACGAGAATGTGCGGGTGTGAGTACCTCTTTCGCGAGGCACCAGTCGACAAACTGAGGCCGCACGGCCATCACGGGGCCTTATATCTCTTACGATCGAACACCTCCATGAGCATGTAGATTTCCCACATTCCGTCGCGCTTTAACTATCATCCCCATGGAGAAGAAAAGGAGAATGAAGACGCTTCGTTCGTTCATCTGGTTTTGTTACTTCCCATCTCAATGGTGATTCAAGTTTCTCCCGAATCGATGGGTGCCTACAATCATAGCTGTCATATAAGAAAATACAGAGGTATATCAATGCAAATTTATGATTTGCGCACAAAGCATAACAATTAAATTACAATTCATTGATACTCATTTACATTTTAAAGAAGATATATATGGCAATTGGATGTAATATTGGAATTATTTTTTATTCAATTTGCGGTTTTGCGATCTTCGATTTATTACAAGAAAATTTCAGTCGAGTTTGGAATAATACTTGAATAATAATGTTCATTTTAATTTAATGTTATATTTCTTGAAACTTGTTTATTTTTAAAAGAAAGTATTTTTTATAGATGACTGCGCATTCTCTGTCTCTACTGATCTTGTTATCTATGCTCTGTTAGAAAGAGAATTGAATACAATATTGAATATATATTGAATATATATTTATGTTTATAATATTTTTAGAAAATTCCACATTAAGAGAAGAAAAAATTTTCAAAAAATTTTATGTCGTTTATTACGAGCTGATTATGCATGAAATATTATTCTTTATGGACACTTATAATCGTTACTCAGCATTATATTTTTTAACCGTTTCTTAACTCTTTTGTTCTATTTGGGTTAATTATTTTATTCTTAGTTTTTTTGTAAATCAAACTATATTCCAATAATTAATTATAATGCATGATTGACGAAATACTGATAAAAAAAATACTTTTATTTTTATATTCGTAACATTGATAATTTCTAAAAATGTGGAATTATAGTTTTGACATATTAATTTTTTAAGTGTAAAATATTGATATCAAAGATTTTTTTTTGCGTAAAAATATTTAGAGAAAAAGTAAATTTTTTAATATTTAATTGAAAATTATTTTAAAAAACTAATTTTTAATTAGTCTCGCGGGGTAACCACAACCTCAGATTAATTTGTTTAACAGCACATATATTTTTACGCGACTAACTAAAGGTTAAGTTAAACACATACTTTGTTTTATGTATAAAAACTGGTGAACAAAAATTAATTAATGAATTGAATAAATTAAATAAATTAAATTAATATTTAATTACTTTTGAATAAATTGTTTTGTATTTACGCAATAATACTTGATTTTAGTGACCAAGATTTTTCTGATCAAGTGCATTTTGTGTATTTTGCGTGCTTATCAAGGATATGACTACCTAATTTTTGTCGAAAACAAGTCATAAGACGCATACAATACGTTTTACTGACAATGAGTTTAGTTGATTTTCTTATTTTTTATTGTTTACGAATACTATTAATGATCTTTCGTAAAGATTGTATCAATGGACGATATATCCTTTACGTGCTGTTAATAAAAAATGGTAACTCCAGCAAATATGTCGCGCTGGGATTTACGTTGTAGAAGTAAAAAAAAAAAAATAGGAGTGGAGGTAATTTTCCTGCAACTATTCTGTTATATGCCTTTATATTATGTTAGTATAATGTTATGATTTTAGCTTCTTACTGTTAATATTAAAAATTATTGTAAGTTGAATTGATTTGTCACTGTAATAAGTAACGCCATCATAAAGTATAATCTACATAAAATGATTACTGTAGGGCATGCAGAAAACTTAGTGGTTATTTCGTGATACATACATAGTGGCATAGTAAAGCATGTTGTGTAATAAAATACAAGTGCTTTGCTTTCGTATTCTTTGTTTAGTTTGTTGTCTTGTATATTCCACCTGTTTGGAATATACGGCATTTTTAGCGAGCGGGATTTATGCCCAAAGTATACAAAGTGTGCAGATTGAATTTAGTGCACTAAATGCAATAAACGCATTATATGAAATATGTACCTTATGTCATAATACTTGTAATATATGTAGGAAGATTGTAATTATTATATATTACTTTATATATACATATTTATATGTATATTTATATATACATATTTACCATTCTTCCTTAATAAAACTTTGTAAACACATTTTATAAGTTATTGTGTCATTATATGTCTTATTTATATGCATTATTTGTAAATTTTTGAGCCATACATCTCCCGTCTCTCTATGAGTAACCATCCCTATGGGATATATGGCAAAAGTGCAAGGGTTTCAAAAAGTTTATTTTTTAATATGAAAAATAAATATTTTGGATTTCTAATATTTTTTTCATAAAATAGTAAACAGTATAAAGTTTTTATTGATATAGTTCGTTTACTAAACATAGTAAATAATACTTAATAAATTAAGTTTTTGATAGATGCGGTTTTTATAAATACATTTTTGATAGATGCGGCGTATATACCGGAGTTATCTTATTGACATTGAATGTTCTATCATATGTATAATATCTATACATATTCAATCGTATTTAGAATATGCAATGACTGAGCTTTAAATACTAATTATATTTAAATACAATTTCCTTTTGTTTAATTTTTATGAAACGTGACGTATATGAAACCTTCACACACACTCACACACACTCACACACACACACACACACACACACACACACACACACACACACACACACACACACACACTGTGTATTGTGTATTGCAATTTGTAATGTCATTTAATTATTAACGTATTTATGTGATTGACTTTTGATTTCCATTTATTATGTTATTTTTTTTACAGTCGTACACGTGGCTTATCATATCCATGTTTTAAGCTGGATTTGTAGAGCATGCTGTACGCAAGTTGCAGGTCGCAAGATTAGATGTGACCTACATGGGAATATATCGTGATCTGCGCGGTTGCAAGATGCAGATCGCAAGATGCAGGAAGCAGGTCGTGAAAGTTAAAGTCCAAACTTTGTGCGACCTGCGATCTGTATGTATTCAAATGAATACAATAAGTCACGGGTACAAGGACAAAAAATGACATGCTAAATGGAAATCGAAAGTCAATCATACAAATGTATCAATGATTAAGCTATAGTCCACTTTGATATAAAGCGCCTTTGCAAAGGAAATGTCGCCGTTTTTAATATTTTTTATTTACTATATTTTTTAAACAAATTAGAAAAAAAAATTAATTTTTAATATCTTTAAAGAAGGCATAATTTTTTATACTTAGTACTATATTGAACATAATTTTTTTCCTAGAAGACAGAAATGTAAAAAGTGACAATTTTTTCCAATAAAGTTAATAGAGAAATTTTTTCCTTTTTACGTTTTCCATCTTAGAAAAATAATATGACTGATGTTAAAATGATTTGGTGTGGATACGTATATGCTGAAAGATTTTTGTAGTACCAGAAAATAAATGTATTCGGTCTAACCAATGATTTCAGATTTTAAAATACGATATCTATAAATTAATATGAATGCAGTGCACGTGTTGAAAGAAATTAAATGTAACAAAAAAATTAACATACGGAATTGGTGTTAAAAATGGAGAATTAATTTTTAAATAAATTTATTTAGGGCGTCTATTTGTTAACGTTCTTTTGCAATGCACAAGTAGCACGCCTGTCTGAGGTGATCCAGACTTCAGATTATGATTATATTATATTAAAATAATGTGTGTATTTTTTTCTCATTGTAAATGTTATCTTGGTGTGAATAATTAGTATAGAGAAAGGTCACCAATACTCAGATATCATCTTGCTTTTAAATAATATTTCTTAAAAATAAAAATAAAAATAAAACTTTAGAAATATAAATACAAACTAGAAAGTGTCTACTATTAGATAATATTAGATAATATAGTAGTTTTTATTATACTATTTGCAATTTCTAAATAATTTTTTCGTAAAATAAGTGCAAATAAGCATTCGACAAAATGGATCTCAAACTGACACGTGTAGGTAATGCCACATAAATATTCCTATTCTTTTCCTTTTAAAGGTCATCTGTACAAAAAAACTTACAAGTGAATATAAGATTTTCTAAAATTTTTTTTACTTCGATATAAAACGTTTTTTGTCGATTTATATTCATATTTTATATGCTGTTTTATATAACACGCGATAGTTTCTTTTTTTTAAAGTTTTACTATGAATATCTGATTGCTTTCAGTTTCGACAAGATTATAATATTTGACACTATAACACAACATTATAAAAATTATGCTAGCTTATATGCTGTTCATAGTAGATTCTTATATTTAACATTGACTTAAGTGTACCGGTTTACACTGCACCTCTATTTTACATTCAAAATCATAATATAAAAAATAAAAAGAAAAGATATAAACAAAACTGATTTAAGAAATTATAAACATTAAAAGTGTCCTAATATATCGGGAATCCGATGATCAGGATGAGTCGGGAAGACATCGAGTGGAGTCGGGTATCGAAAATTTCGAGATTCTCGAAAGTATCGGGATTCTTGAAAATATTTGGGATTTCTCGACAGAATCGAGAGTCCCGAAAATGTTCGGAATTCCCGAGGAAGTTGAGAGAGTCGAGATTCCCAAAAAATTTATATTTCTAAAAATTTCGACAACCTTACTGCTACTTTCAAAAAGGCGTAAAAAATCGAAAATTCGAAAGAGTTTATTGAAACGAGTTTATTAAAACGAGTTTTCAAATAGTAATCAAATTTTCAGGAAAAATGACAGACTCGAGAATATTGAATCCATTGGGAATCTCGATTCTATCGAGAATCCGAACTCTCTCGGAAATCCCGACTCTGTCGGGAATCCCGAAAGGTTCAACCCGATCCCACAAAAAATTCCCGTCCCGACCTAACCTGATCTATATTCGGGTTCTCGCATACCTCTAACAAACATATAAAACAATATAATATCACCCAGAGAAAGATTTCTTCGATTTAAAGAAACGTTTCTTTACTATACGGTTAAAGAAAAAATTTCTTTAATTTGCAAACTTCATTTCTTTGATTTAAACATTATTTTTTAAAATCAAATAAAATTT